GGGAATTGTGCAGATTTAGCAACTGCACCGGCAAATACTAGAACGGCACACACAGTAATAAATGATAAATTGACCTCATTTTTTAAAATCAAGTTATTTACTATTTCGAATAAATCCCGAAATTCAAAACTACCTGTTATCCAATAAAAACCTAAAATTCCTAATAATAAACCAAAATCCCCTACACGATTAGTTACAAACGCTTTTTGACAAGCATTTGCCGCAACCGGTCGTGTGAACCAAAATCCTATTAATAAATAGGAACACATTCCAACCAATTCCCAAAAAATAAAATTTGTATCAAATTTGAACTAGTAACTAATCCCAACATGGAAGTACTGAAAAAACTCATATAAGCAAAAAATCTCAAATATCCTTGATCATGAGACATATAATTATCACTATAAATAAGAACCATAATTCCAACACTAGTAATTAATATTGACATAATAGAAGTAAGTGGATCGATTACGTAGCCCAATTCTAAAGAAAAATCATTATTGATGATCCAAGACCATACATATTGATAGATAGAACTGCTATTCATTTGCTGAATAGACAGATCGATCGAAAAAATCATGACTATACTTAACAATAGAACACTAGGAAAAGCCCATATACGACGGAGATTTTTTGTTGCCGTCGGAAAAAGAAGAAGCCCCACTCCTATTAACATAGGAACTGGAAGTGGAATCAAAGGTATGATCCACGCATATTGATATGTATGTTCCATAAAAAATAAAAAGTAATTAATTGTTTCCGATTCGCCAGATCTTGCCTTTTTCGAAAGGAGTCAATAAAAAAAATAAAGATATGCACTAACTTAAACTAACTTAAAGAGAATTTTAGAATTTTCTATTCTTATTTATTTTGAGTCTTTCCTAAATACTTCAAATATTCAAATCAAAAAATGAGAATTGGTCAAATAAATTACTAGTAAAAAGTGAATACTTAGTTCTTAATTAAGATATTTATGAAGATAGAAAAACTTACAATTTTTAGTATTATTACAAAAATTTCTCTCCCATAGAGCAAGGATGAAGAATTATACCAAAAAAAGGTCTTTGATTCTGATATTAATCATAGGATCAACTAAGATCAACAACTTGGCCTAATGAGATAAGAACTCGCCATTGTAGTTAGTTTATTCAAAATTATTAACTAGTATTATGTCACGTATCTTTTAACAGATTAATTACCAGTCCCATTCAAATTTGAAAAATGAAATTAGAAATACCCCTTCCTCGGGCTTGACCAATTAATAGAAAAAAAGATGAAAGTTTTTTCAGTAGGGAAAAGTTGGTTTCTTAAACTTTTTGATGTATTTTATTACATGTAAATGAAATATCGAACGCAGAAAATAGACAGAAACAGAAATGGAGGTTGGATTTTATAAACTTCAACCAATTTCGTTTCTATGATATATCGGATTCTACAGATATAGATTTAAGTGAGAAAGAATGAGAAATAAAGATACCAATCAGTACAAATTTTTCTTTCTTCCAGATATTGTAGGGAATAGAAAAAACAATTTTTTTAAATCACATAATAATCATATATCATATTCTTTTTTTTTTTTAGTAATATTTTATACGATTTTCACATATCTATATTTATTTTTTATGAAGAGAATATTATCTAGAGAATAAATAGATAGATAATGAATAGTAAAGAACAATTCGTTTTGAACAATAGATGTCTTTCACATCCAACTATAACAATGAGTGATCTCGTAATTTTAAAATGGCAGTTCCAAAAAAACGTACTTCTATATCAAAAAAGCGTATTCGAAAAAATATGTGGAAAAAGAAGGGATATTGGGCAGCGCTAAAAGCCTTTTCGTTAGCGAAATCCCTTTCTACCGGAAATTCAAAAAGTTTTTTTGTGCGACAAACAAATAAATAATCAAACGTTGGAATAATCTGAATCAACTTGACTCGAAAAATTGGCTAATTTTATTTATAATATAATTAATAATTTCCATTACTTACTGTATTGGACTAATCAATATGAAATAGAATTCGTCTTGCTTTTCTGATATATATAATAATAATTTGTCTCTTTACCGAATTCTAAAAATAATACCTTTGTGTTTGAAAAAACGAATAAAGATAAGATATGGGGTTTTCCCTTTCTTTTTAGTATATTTTATCATTTTCGGGGTGGGGATTCTTATTTTCCCCATCGACCCGCTTGTCACAATCACAATAATAAAAAATAAAAACGTTTTCTTTCTTTCTATATTTGGAAAAGGGCAAATATAAGATCTTTATTCAAAATGAAAGGGTCATTGAAACTAATTCATTAAGTTTCAAATTTTGTTTGTAACTTTCCGAATCATTATTTCTTTTAATTACTATCTATACCCTCATATGCCTCTCGCTTTCAACCTAATCGGTAAAAGGCGATATTATGTACAAAAATGTGTTAATTTTTAAGTGATTCAAAATAGATCCTATTTTTTGTTCATTGATAAAATGCATTTTTTTGTTTCAGATTTATGAAATCAAATAAATGAGAAATGAATCATTAAAAAATGAAAATGAGAAAAGACATTTTATTTTGAGTTCTATCCTTGGATTGAGGGCAGAACTATCTAGTTACAACAGTTCAATTAATTCTAAGAGAGCATAAACTACACGAAAGCCCTAAGTTAAATAAAACTGACACCCTACATGAAAATACTGAACCTTCAAATCCCGATTTGAACGAATTTTTATTCATCATTTTAAATCTTTCTTAAAAAATATTGCATTGACTTGACCCCTTTAATCTCGACGATTGAATATGAATAGGCTATTATGAGTTCGAGCAAGCCGCTATGGTGAAATCGGTAGACACGCTGCTCTTAGGAAGCAGTGCTAGAGCATCTCGGTTCGAGTCCGAGTGGCGGCATGCCATCTTCTAAAAAAGATACAATAGATCCTATAATGAACTCAATTCCTGATTTCCCTTCCGTAATTGAGGGATTCCTCTTTTTTTTTAAGATTTTTTATGATATTTTCAACTTTAGAGCATATATTAACTCATATCTCCTTTTCGATCGTTTCAATCGTAATTACAATTCATTTGATAACCTTATTAGTCGATGAAATCGTAAGACTATATGATTCGTCAGAAAAGGGCATGATAGCTGCCCTTTTCTGTATAACAGGATTATTAGTCACTCGGTGGATTTATTCGGGGCATTTCCCGTTAAGTGATTTATATGAATCATTAATTTTTCTTTCATGGAGTTTCTCTATTATTCACATAGTTCCGTATTTCAAAAAAAAGAAAAATCATTTAAGCGCAATAACCGCACCGAGTGCTATTTTTACCCAAGGCTTTGCTACTTCAGGCCTTTTAACTGAAATACATCAATCCACAATATTAGTACCCGCTCTCCAATCCGAGTGGTTAATAATGCACGTAAGTATGATGGTATTGGGCTATGCAGCTCTTTTATGCGGATCATTATTATCAGTAGCGCTTCTAGTCATTACATTTCGAAAAGACATAAAGATTTTTTGTAAAAGCAATCATTTATTAAATGAGTCATTTTCCTTTGGTGAAATCCAATACATAAATAAAAAAAGCAATGTTTTGGGAAATACTTCTTTTTTTTCTGCTGGGAATTATTACAGGTCCCAATTGATTCAACAATTGGATCATTGGAGTTATCGTGTTATTAGTCTAGGGTTTATTTTTTTAACCATAGGGATTCTTTCGGGAGCAGTATGGGCTAATGAGGCATGGGGATCATATTGGAATTGGGACCCAAAGGAAACTTGGGCATTTATTACTTGGACCATATTCGCGATTTATTTACATACTCGAACAAATAAAAATTTGCAGGGTGCAAATTCCGCAATTGTGGCTTCTATAGGCTTTCTTATAATTTGGATATGCTATTTTGGAGTCAATCTATTAGGAATAGGGCTGCATAGTTATGGTTCATTTACATTAACGTCTAGTTGAATTCAAGAAGGGCCCTGACGAATACAAGCAGAGTACAGTGTATATAAAAAACTTCGTGTAAGCCGGCGAGAACCATTTGAATCAAGTAGTGTAGTGATTCACATGGTTCTCACAAACACCAAACATATATGGTTAAAATTCAAATTCCTTTTTGTTTTTACTTAACTTAAGAGAATACAAAAAAACTTCTTTTTTTTCATCGCACAACGAATGATTTTTAAAATCATAGGATTTTTTTTTTATTTTTTGTTTTATTCATGAAAACTATCTAGAAAAATAATTAGATAGAATAAGTTCGACCTTGTCAACTGATAGTGAAAGAACAAAATCGGGGTAAATACCAATACCTATGACAGGTAAAAAGATAGAGATCGAAACAAATAACTCTCGCGGTCCAGAATCAAAAAAATAAGAGTTTGGAGCATTAAATAGCTTGTATCCATAGAACATCTGACGTGACATAGATAATGAATAAATAGGAGTTAATATCATCCCAATTGCCATTACAAAAGTAATTAGTATTTTTGTCATTAAAAGATACTTTTGGCTGGTAATTATTCCAAAAAATACTATCAATTCTGCAACAAAACCACTCATGCCCGGTAATGCAAGAGAAGCCATCGAAAAGCTACTGAACATTGTGAATATTTTTGGCATTAGGATAGCTATTCCGCCCATTTCGTCGAGATAAGCAAGACGTATTCTATCATAACTCGTTCCTGCCAAGAAAAAAAGCGCGGCACCAATAAATCCATGAGAGATTATTTGTAAAATGGCTCCATTGAGTCCCGTATCGGTTATAGAGCCTATTCCTATAATTATGAAACCCATATGAGATACAGAAGAATAGGCTATTCTTTTTTTTAAATTACGTTGGCCAAGGGATGTTGAAGCTGCGTAGATTATTTGCGTTGTACCTACTATGATAAACCAAGGAGAAAATATAGAATGAGC